AAAGTTGTGACAAAGTTCGTCATAGCTGAAGTGCACGCCTGTCATATCAAAGGAGCTACTTTAAATGTATACGAACTCCCCTGGAATTGAATTCCAAGTTCTAAAAGAACAAGAAAATTTCGCCGTGGCTTGTTTGCTCCCTCCATAAAACTCGTCCCCATAGATATGAGAGCTCCTCCCTTGGTCAGGGAAAAGTGGTGTGATTTAATTAACGTTGAGTGTTTTATTGTTGTAACACTGAGTTTTTTTCTCATCATAGGGGAGGGCCACCTTCAAAAAGGTGCGAAAGCTGTGCTTAGCACCAGCTTTATNAAGAACCAGTTAGCTGATGTATATATGCTTCAATGTTGGTGCTCCTACCAAGGTTTTTGACAAAGCTGGGCCCGTGGGACTTGGGACTGTCAATTTATTTTAGAAGTCTTACATTTTGGCACATAAACGAAACGTTTAGTCTAGTAGGAAAAGAACCTCTTCCAATTGTGTGGACCTGCAAGAGGTTTCACTTTTACTTGTCGCACGTGCTCATTTCGTAGTCATAACAGAAATGCTCGAAAGTTTACCCGTTTCTTGAATTATAGAAGCAACACACAGCACTAAAAAAACAAAACAGATGCATTATAATACATTGAAATGTATGTAGCCCTGAGGAGTTTAAGCCAAAACTGCCGAAGGACGTTTCAAAAATGTCGAATAGTCAAACGTTTGACTTTCAAGCAAGGTTTGGCAGATATAGTGGTTGGAAAGTTAAAGAGTACTTTTTAAAGATTGCCGATTGGATTGGGTTTTCTTTGTTGCGGCCTTTTACAACGATTTTTGTTAAAATTATTTGGCATACTTATTATATCAATAAAATTAGTCCCCAGAAATAATTTCAGCCAAAATGATATCAGCAGAATTTCTCACTACGCGAGATTTTCATTGTAAAGTAAGTTAAAGTGAAACGCTCATTTCGTGAAAAATTTTTTATCAGAAGTACATGTAAAATCGGATTACTTCGTATGAATGCCGAATCTAGTGTTAGCTGTATAGCTCATCTCAAAGTTTTGCAGCCATCGCGTAAGAACCGGAAAAGTTGTGACAAAGTTCGTCATAGCTGAAGTGCACGCCTGTCATATCAAAGGAGCTACTTTAAATGTATACGAACTCCCCTGGAATTGAATTCCAAGTTCTAAAAGAACAAGAAAATTTCGCCGTGGCTTGTTTGCTCCCTCCATAAAACTCGTCCCCATAGATATGAGAGCTCCTCCCTTGGTCAGGGAAAAGTGGTGTGATTTAATTAACGTTGAGTGTTTTATTGTTGTAACACTGAGTTTTTTTCTCATCATAGGGGAGGGCCACCTTCAAAAAGGTGCGAAAGCTGTGCTTAGCACCAGCTTTATGGACTGAGGCCCACTTTCTTTGCGTTATCCCTCCCGGCCAGTTGTTTGTAAAACATGAGTAGTTCAATAAGACGTTTTAAAAGGTTTAGTGCTTTATTTCTAATCCTGCACACCTTAAGTACTGTTCTTTGACAGATTCCCGAAAAATGAGTAATACGCTCGTAAGCTTATTTATCTTTTCTTCTCTCAAGGTTCTACACTTGTGTTTCGTGCTTCGCGCTACATGTCTTTTGCCTCGCACTATGCTAAAAAGCTGGGCTGAGCCTATAGGCAAGTTTGAAGGCTTACGTGCATATTGCAGCATATGAACTAAAGAAAATGGAAACAATCAGAGATAATAAAAATCAAGAAAAATTCGCACGCTCGTCTACAGCTTAAAGCCTTAACTTGGAAGACATCAGCGTACACATAACTTTGAATGAAACCTACGAAAGTAAAATCAAAGATTGATTGAAGGGTACTCGCTAGCTCTCGCTTATACTTTGAATCTTTTTATGTGGTTATCGATATTACAGAAAATAAGCTTCCTACAAGGTTTATCCTCCAGGTCGTTCTCAGATGAACACAGCCAACTTACCTGAAATCGTCTTTCCTTTCAAAAACAATTTAGTTCACGTAAAGCGGCGTTGTCTCTTGACAAGAACTAAGTGAGTACCTCCAACTTCGCCTTCCTTTGAAAATACTTATACCAGGCAAGAACTTTCGAGCTTTTATCTGTGTGGTTTTGACCTTTAGACAGGAAATTGTGCTAAATCAAAGACAGTTGTTTTTAACTGTTTGCATCGTTTACCTGAAGACTGCAGTGATAAGAAAGACAAAGCTTTAACCTTGAAGACACTGAACAAAGAATCACTAGAAATAGGGAGGTTTCCCGCTAGCGCTGAAGAGGAAGTCGACCTTTCTTTAATGCTACCCAGTCAAAACAGGTCAAGCATACTCCCTTAGGTTATATTAATATTACCAGTTAGTTGAAAAGTGAATTTGTTAGGCCTGCCGGTACAAGTTTTAAATTAAAGTCGAGTGTCTCTAAAACTCAGAACAGTCCGGGAACACCTCCAGACCGCAAAAGGAATACCTTTTACGACTTTAGCGTACATGAAATATCACTGAAGATTTTTCTACAAGTATGAAATTCACTAGCTTAACTACATGGTATGTAAATGCATAGCTCAATGCAAAAATATATCAAATAATGGCAACGACTAAAGGAGTCTATTTTAAAGTAATTAATTTATTAATAGAATCTGCTGGAGTACACTTGACCTTTCTTTTCCAATTTTACTCATCGACAGTTCTAGAGCAGCAAACGTTGTGTCTCCATAACACCAACATTTAGTAATCCCGCTCTCTTGAGCGATGTGGATACTTCTTCACATCGCGTGTTTCTTGCTTTGTGTAAAATCACCACCAAAGGCAGCCAGTCGTTTTCACCAATTCCTCGTACGTTGAAACGCAGAATCTGTATACATGATAAGGACAAAGCTTTAACCTTGGAAATCAAAACAAGAACAGTTAGGATTCTGCCAGCGCTGAAACGGAAGTCGATTTATGTTTTGATACTGCCCAGTCAAACCAGGTCAAGCATACTCCCATGGACTCTATTGATGAGCTATAATTAGTAGTAAATTGAATCTATTTGTTCTTGCTGTTCCTAGTAACTTAGAATCTGCATGCGTAACGGGTATGAGTTATTAACTTTTCACTAGTTTTATGATAGTAGATAATGTGT